TCACAGTCTTTCTCTTGGCGTGCTCGGTGTATGTCACAGCATCACGGATCACGTTCTCAAGGAAAACTTTCAGAACACCGCGAGTCTCCTCGTAGATCAGGCCTGAGATTCGCTTGACACCGCCACGACGAGCAAGACGACGGATGGCTGGCTTCGTGATGCCTTGGATGTTGTCACGAAGGATCTTTCGGTGACGCTTGGCGCCTCCTTTTCCTAGACCTTTGCCTCCTTTACCGCGACCAGACATGTTGATTGCTACTTGTGTAACTGAGATATAACCGATTTGAGACCGTTTATTTCTCTTTATATGGTGGAGAATGACCTCTCAGAAAACAACATAAGAATGTTATATTCCTATTGGCTGGCTTCATACAAAGCCAAGGCCCAACTTCATATTATTAATACATGCAGCATTACCATAAAATATTTGCTTTCATTCACACTACACGCGCGTGCACATTCTGTAATAATTGGAAAAAATTGCCCTGAATAAAACCTTCATAACATCTTAACGATAACTATTATTCATCTTCTATTTTACTGTAGCGATTTTTCTTTAAATTATCGAAAAAGTATGTCAATGATTGAAAAAATATACCTTCAAGGTTGCTTCGGATCGAAATATAAAATACAGGCACAGAACCGTGAAATTATTTGCTATTTTTAGAACGGACCAATCATATCTCTTAATTTTAAACCAATCAGAGTCAAGCCCGCCAGGTATAAATCCGTTTGTAACGTACGTTATTTCGCCATTGTCAGATATTTTTGACATCGAATCGCGAGGATGGCTCGTACAAAGCAAACCGCTCGTAAATCAACTGGTGGAAAGGCTCCACGCAAACAGCTCGCCACAAAGGCAGCTCGTAAGAGCGCTCCTGCCACCGGTGGAGTCAAGAAACCTCATCGTTACAGGCCTGGAACAGTCGCTCTTCGTGAGATCCGTCGTTACCAGAAATCCACCGAGCTCTTGATCCGCAAGCTGCCCTTCCAGCGTCTTGTGCGAGAAATTGCTCAGGATTTCAAGACCGATTTGCGTTTCCAGAGTTCCGCTGTGATGGCTCTTCAAGAAGCTAGCGAGGCTTACCTTGTTGGTCTGTTTGAAGACACCAACTTGTGCGCCATCCACGCCAAGCGCGTCACCATCNACCTTGGATGTTGTCACGAAGGATCTTTCGGTGACGCTTGGCGCCTCCTTTTCCTAGACCTTTGCCTCCTTTACCGCGACCAGACATGTTGCTTGCTTAGAGTGTAACTGAAACACAATTGCCTTAGTGGGGACGTTTTATGCTTTTATAACGACAAGAATGACCTCTCAGAAAGCACCATACTGTATTTATTGCTATTGGTTAACAACAGACAATAACACCATGGGTCAGTTAATACTGTTCATATTAGCATACAACATTCCTCTTCATTCACAACACATCATCTTTTACCTTTCAAATTGGGATGATAAATAAAAAAGTCACAACAAACTCTTACAGGAAAAATTAAAACATTTTTATCCTTTGTTATCATTTATTATCGAGCCGAAATCTCTCAACGCTCACAAAACAGATCTCCTGAGAAACTTCGGATCGAAATTGAACCACAAACCCGTGAATATGTTTTACAGTTTTCATATTGAGCCAATCACATCTCCTCCTGTTTAGCCAATCAGAAAGCAGCCCGCCATGTATAAATTCATTGCTTGGTCATTGCGCCATATTCTGTTAACTTCGTTGTTATCAAGCATGGCTCGTACAAAGCAAACTGCTCGTAAATCAACTGGTGGAAAAGCTCCACGAAAACAGCTCGCCAC